AAATTCTCTATAAGCTAATTAAAAAACTCATCTATATACATCTATACATTTACATTTTTGGTGGTTTTTTCTAGTTTGGTGTTTTGTCTTTTTTACAGTTTGGACTTCCTGCTCTTTGTTCAGTACTCTTTTTTATAGAGGACTATTAGATTAATAAATCCTTTTCAAAAAAATCTACCTATCTGTACATCTATACATTTATATTTTTTTATTAAATTTATCCCCAAACTGTTATATACTCAGTATTTTGGTTTTTCTCATATTGATATTTGTCCACAATTGATTGGTTGGGAGGAAACCAATATATATATATATATATATATATATTATATAATTTATATAGAATATATATTTAGAATTCCAATTATAATATTTATAAATAATATTTAGAACATTAAATTATAATCAAAGTAAAATTTCGTTTCCTTTTTCCAGCAGATAATTATTTGAATAGATATTAGAATTCTAACAATATTTCATTTCATTTAATTTAATTGCTATTACATAAGATAAAATTTTACTTAGACTTGCAATTACTCGGTTCCAATCATAAACCGAAAAACCCAACACGAATGCGTGGGAAAAATATCTAGTATATGTTTAATTTATATTATTTAATATTAAGAAAAATATTCTAAATAAACACAAATGAGTCCTTCAATTTTACTTATTTAACCGTTTATCTACTGAAAAAAGTTTAAGCTGAACCAAAAGTACTTTTCAGAAGTATTTTTCGGTTGTTTTTTATGTAAGAGACATAAATTTTAAATTTCTTAGATATAAATTTTAAATTGAAACATTTTCTAGAAGCTCTTTTCAGAAGGACTTCTCGGATATATATATTTTTTTTAACTGGATTGCTAAATACCACCCCATTTTTGCTATTCACCGCCCCATTTTTGACCTTTTTTTACCCTTTTGCCCTTTGTTTCATTTTCTAATCTTGAAACTATCACGAACGTAAAATAGCGTTAACGTGCTGTATTTTGATGACAATTTAAGAAAAATGAACGATAACGTGCCGTATTTTGATGACGATTTCAAAAAAATGCAATTTTTGACGAATTTTAGGACTGATGACCCGTGCCGCCCCAAGAGGGCGGCTTACCATGGGCAGGCCGCCCCACTAGGGCGGCTTCACTATGAATAGGCCGCCCCAGTGGGACGGCCTGCCCATGGTGAAGCCGCCCCAGTGGGGAGGCTTCGCCGTGGCTGAACCGTCCTAGTAAGGAGGCTCAGTGTAAAAGTGTAAAAAGGGTAAAAGGTAAAGGGCAAAAGTGTAAAAAGTGGGACGGTATTTAGCAAAACTAAGGCGATATTTAGCAACCCCCTTTAGCAACCCCTTTTTTTAAAGAGTTGCCCTTGAGTTGAGTACCAAAGTACCAATCACTATTAATTTAAGACGTTGATGAATGATAGACTATTCATTCGGCTACAACTTCAAGGAAGGTTCCAATATTTACAAAAATCATGATTTGATTGGATCAATCAAGGGCCTAACATTTACGGATAGTCAAACCTTAATTCAAAGGTAATGTCAATTAACCACATGCGGAGATAAGGCAAGAGAGGAGAAGATGCCACATGTCCAATTTTTTAGCCCCTTTTTACTTGACACATGGCAAATCAATAACCCAATCAAATGCCAAGTCTCTCTTCATTCTTTTGACATGTGGCAATTTTTTTTTTTTCAAAATTTAAATATTTTCCCTTTATTGAATTGGACTTGTCTCCTGTTTCTAACGATTTGTGTATTGGACAATTGTCGTTTGGATCTTGGAGGCAGGTATTCGATCTGTCCGAATCCATTTTGTCCGGGTTTGGATCGTGATATATGGATATGGAGTAAATTTAGATTTTCAAAATTTTTTCCTTTTACTAAATTAAGCTTTTGTGTCTCTGGTTTCCAATCATTTATGTATATGACGATTGTCGTTTGGATCTCTGAAGCCAATATTCGATCCGTCCGAATCAATTTAGGATGGACTTTGATCGTAAATACATGGATACGAAGCGAATTTGGATTTTAAAAAATTTGTCTATTTACTAAATCATACTTTTTTTTGTCTCTAAGTCTCTAATTATTTGTGTATTGGGCAATTGTCGTTTGGAGTTCATGAGCGGAAATATTGAACCCGCCCGAATCCGTTTAGGGCGAATTTGGATTTTCAAAAAATTTTCGATTTACTAAATTGGATTTTTGTGTCTGATATCTCCAACCATTTGTGTATCGGACAATTGCCGTTTCGATCTCGGAGGTGGATATCCGATTCGTCCGAATCCATTTAGGGCGGATTTGGATCGTGATATATGAATACGAAGGAATTTGGATTTGCAAAAATTTTTTCCATTTGCTAAATTAAACTTTTGTGTTTTAGGTCTCCAATCATTTATGTGTCAAACCGTTTAACCGATCTGTCCGAATCCGTTTAATGCGGATTTAGATATTCAAAAGAAAAGTAAAACTATACATGACACGTGACCCAAATTTTTAGTGCCTCATTACTTGACACAGTACTTAGGGTGCCTAAAAAAATTGTTTTTTTTTTTGTGATTGCCTAAAATAATTGTTATTGTGCCTAAAAGTTGTTTGAATGTTTAATCTTACCCTTATAAAATCAATATTTCTTTATATATTAAATTATTTTATTTGATAAGACAAACTTGAAACCATCCAAACAATGTCTCAAACCCTAGAAAAATTTTTCTCCGCCGCTTTTGGCTTTCCCTCTCGCCGGGGTCTCTCCGGTAGGAATTTTCCCTTGTCTAAGTACAAGTTTACTTCCTCAGATCTTCCGAGATATCTTGAGGATTTTCCGTTGAGTCTTATCTCTTCTTATCACTTAACTCTTTTTTATTTCAAAATTCAAATCACCGTTGGAGTATGGAGGCTATCTATATCTTGCCAATCATCTTGGGTTTGGTGGTCTATCTTCTCTTTGGGTTTTCTAAGTCCTCAAACCATTTTTCTTTTCCACTCTCTTCTGTGTTTTCTGTTACAATCAATGGCTACTGCTCTGTCAAATCTGTCGAGGCTATCGATTCAGGATGAGGATGAAACAAATGGGGCAAGGGTGGAGGAGAATAGGGTGGTGATTGCAGATGCTGACTGGCTTGATGGAACGGAGGAAGGGGCACCTCGCTTCCATCTTCTGGGAAAGTTGTTTTCCAAAAGAAGAGCGAATGTTGAAGGCTTTGGAAACCAGATGGTGCTATGATAGTTAAGGAAGCAGGCGGCAATCTCTACATTTTTCAATTTGAAGATGTAGTTGAAAGGGATTGGGTGCTTGTGAATCAACCATGGTCTTTTAATAGGAGCTTGCTGGTGTTGCGGGAATTTGATGGCTTACAGACACCTGAGGAAGCTAATTTTGAGCTTTGTCCAGTGTGGATGTGAGTTTTTAAGCTGCCCATCTTGATTATGACGGATAAGGTGGGAGTAGCTATTGGATTGGCCATGGGAGATGTCTTGGAGGTTGATAAGTCAAATAGCAGGTATTTGCGTATTTGAGTGCGATTTAATGTCAACAATCCGCTGTTGGAAGGCACTACGGTTACGACTCCTCATGGCGACATTGAGGTAAAATTTCGATTCAAAAAATTTTCTGCTGTTTGTTGTGTCTGTGGTGTGGTTATTCATTTGGATCAGGATTGTCCCATTGGAATTGAGCAAATTAAGACTCATGGACAAATGATTCGCAAGTATTCTGACTATCTTCGGGCGGAGACACCGGATATTAAGCCTCGTCATTTCCATACGGCCATCAGTAGCTTGAAGTCGGGTGGAGTTAGAGGTGTAAGTGGCAGTCGACGGATCCCAACCACTACGGAGTCGGTGACGTCTTGACCAAGAGCTTTCCAGAACCATGTAGATAGTCTAGTTCAACGGGGTCGGGCGGTGGCAAGGGCAATTGCCGGTGATGATGAGGTAGGGGAGGTGGCCTCAAGAGTCGGAGGTTTGTTCGGCCCAAAAGGTAAAGAGCCGTTAGTGGCGGAAATTGAGGCCCGATCAATGAGGAGGTTGGAGAACGGGGGTCTTGGGTTGTTAGGTGACGTGGAGGGGCATCAAAGGCAACGTGTGAAAGGTGTTGTTGCTGGTGGGGAGGGGCTTCAATGTTATGGGCCTGACTATCTAAGTCTCAAGGTATTTGAGGGCTCAGGTGCCAATTATGAGCCGCAGTTGGTTCCTGGTATTGGACCATCTTTTGTGGGCCCTATGATGTTGCAAGAGGGTCCCGAGGATATGGGTTCTGGTTCCAAACAAAAAGGACAGTTGGAGTTGGGTCTGGATCTAAAGCAGGCCAGTCTTTTAGTTCCAAATTCAGGACCTAATATTGGGCTGGACAGCAATGGCAAGGGACTTTCTGGTACGGGCCATGACACAAGAGGGATTTTTAAGTTTACTGCAACAAATCGCAGCGGGTCCAAAAGAGCCAAACCCACTTACAACAATGATTTTGGTCCGGATATTTATTCACCTTCTCCAACAGGTAATAATTCAAAGTTTGCAATTCCATACCAGACTTCTTCCCCGACCTTTGTTATTGGTCAGGATACCTCTGCAGGAACGAATTCAGTAAGGAAATGGCGCAAGATGGCAAGGGTCTCCTCGAAGTACTCATTTGAGGCTTTGGGTCCATATACTAATCTGAAAGACGGCAGGAAACGAGGCTTCAACAGTGGTATAATGATCACAGAGGGGGCGACATCAACCAAGAAGTCTCATGATTGTGAGGGGTATTGGGAGCTGATTTTGCAAAGCCCACGGAGGGGTCTGGTGCAGCAGCAAATGGTAATGACATGGCTGTAAATTCTAATGTCAAAATTAATTCAACGGCGGAGATGATCAGTAAGAATCATCTTTGCCGAGAATCATGAATTGTTTAGTGTGGAACTGCCGGGGTCTAGGGCAGTCCCGGACAGTTCGAAAATTAGCTAAGTTCATTTCTTGTAATAAGCCCTCTATTTTGTTTCTTTCTGAGACTAAGAAAAGTAGTAATGCAATGGAGTGGATTCGTGTTTGTTTGGGTTATGATTCTTGTCTTGCTGTAAATTGTAGAGGTAGATCAGGAGGCTTGGCCTTGCTATGGCTTAATTGTGTAAATGTTTCTATTATTTCTTTTTCAACTTTTCATATTGATGCGCAAATAGGATCGGATTTAGCCACTGCGTGGAGATTTATTGGTTTTTATGGTAGACCAGAAACTCATCGTCGGAATGAATCTTGGCAGCTCATTCGAACCCTTAAAGCAGTTTCCAATTTACCATGGCTGTTATCTGGTGATTTTAATGAAATTTTGAGAAGTGATGAAAAAATTGGAGGATTGTCTCGTCTTTTTCATCAGATGGATGTTTTTCGCTTAGTAATTGAAGAGTATAATCTTCAAAGTCTTCCGGTACAGGGTCCTTTGTCAACTTGGCTTAAGCGAATTAATGGGGAGATTGTTTTTGAGAGGCTCGACCGGACTTTTGTTGATGATCGATGGTGGAATCGGTTTGGTCTATCTCTTAAAAGGCATTTAATCACAACAGTTTCGGATCATCTTCCATTACTCATTTTAGTCAAGGATCAACCTGTCTCTCTAGATATAGGACAACGATTATTCAAGTTTGAATCTATGTGGTGTTTGCATGAGGATTTTGAGCGGGTTGTAAGGGAAGCTTGAGCTGTGGATTCATCGAAAGGTATTGTGGATAATATTTCTTCATGTAGCAGGGCTTTAGGTCAGTGGAATAAATTGGTGTTTGGCAACGTAAGATATAAGTTGGAAGCGAAAAGAAGAGAGTTTGAGACTGTTTATGGTGGGTTGGCAGGCAATGATATAGACTCTTTTGATGAGTGCAAAAGGGAGCTGGATGACTTCATTGCTCAGGAGGAAGTTATGTGGCGACAACGGTCAAAAGCTCTCTGGTTGAAGGAGGGAGATTGTAATACCAAGTACTTTCATTCTGTGGCAATGAATCGGAGAAGAAAGAATACGATCTTGGGCATTGAGGATGAGTCGGGGATATGGAAAACAGATACTGGCGAGGTTGAACGGATCGTGTGTGCTTACTATCAGAATTTGTTTACATCAAGTGACCCGTCGGAGCATTTGATAGATTCGGTTTTGGCAAATCTTCCAAATCGTATTGATGATGATATGAGGTTTCAGCTTGACAAACCATATTCCGCTGAGGAGATTAAAGAGGCTGTCTTTTAGATGCAGGCAAATAAGGCGCCGGGCCCGGATGGGTTTTCACCATCTTTCTATCAGAAATGCTGGAATATAATTGGTAAGGATGTGGTGCAGTTTGCTCTTGGTTTCTTGAATGATAATGTGGCTTTACCATAAATTAATAACAAGAACATAGTATTGATCCCAAAGATTGACAATCCGAGAACGATGAAGGATTTTAGGCCAATTGCTCTATGTAATGTGATTTTTAAGATTGTGTCAAAGGCCATTGCTAATCGGATGAAGCTTGTTCTTCCATCCATTATTAGTGATTGTCAGAGTGCTTTTGTTCCAGGGAGGATGATTTATGATAACGCTATAATTGCTTTTGAGACTATTCATTTTTTACGAGGCAAAAGGACTGGTAAGAGAGGACATATGGCCCTTAAATTGGACCTAAGTAAAGCTTATGATAGGGTCGAGTGGAGTTTTATTGAGAAGTGTATGTGTAGACTGGTTTTTCTACTCGTTGGATTTCTCGGGTCATGACTTGTGTCCGAACAGTCTCTTACTCTCTGTTGATTAATGGGAAGCAGTGTGGTAAAGTTAGCCCAACATGTGGTATTCGTCAAGGTGACCCGTTATCTCCATACCTATTCCTTCTATGTATGGAGGTATTGTCTTGTTTGATTACGCGTGCTGATGCTCAAAAGTCAATACATGGAGTGGCTTTGAATTGATTTGCTCCAAGGGTATCACATCTCTTTTTTGCAGATGATAGCATCGTGTTCTTAAGGGCGTCGTTAGAAGAGTGTGAGGCGATTCTGGGACTTTTACATGAATTTGAACAAGTGTCGGGGCAACAAGTAAATATCGACAAATCTGCTATTTTATTCAGCTCGAACACTACTGAGGATGTAAGAAGATTGGTGATGTGGAAATTAGGAGTGCAGCGTGTTCTTGAACAAGACAAATATCTTGGCCTTCCCATCATGATCGGCAAAAATAGGAAGCGGGAGCTACAATTTATTAAGGAACGACTGGCTAAACGAGTGTCTTTGTGGCAAAATAAATTATTCTCGATTGCAGGGAAAGCAGTCATGATCCAGTCAGTGGGACAATCGATACTTGTGTATCCGATGAGTGTGTTTTGTTTTCCGAAAGGTTTTATCCATGAGCTGAATATGATTTTAGCAAAATTTTGGTGGGGTGATTCTGTGGAGAAACGGAAAATACATTGGAAGGCATGGGAAGAGTTATGTGTCTCAAAATTGGATGGCAGGTTAGGTTTTCGGGATTTTGAAGCTTTTAACCTGGCGCTTTTGGCCAAGCAATGCTGGAGAATATATCATAATCCTGATTCGCTTTGTTCTCGCATATTAAAGGCCAAGTACTTCCCGAGATCGAATTTCTTTGATGCTGCGTTGGGCAATAACCCATCGTTTGTTTGGAGGAGTCTTTTGGAAGGTCGAAAGGTGATTGAAGAAGGTTCACGTTGGCGAATTGGTCAAGGAGATTTTAGCTTTTGGCATACGAAATGGCTAGCAGAGTCTCCATGTTCAAGACCGAGACCAAAGGAAGGAATAGTCCTATCTAATGAAAAGGTGAAGGATATGATCAATGTTGAAGAGAAACAATGGAATGTGGACAAGCTGCTTGAGTTGGTGTTAGATGAAGATGTTAGCCGGATAATGTGCATACCAATCCCACGGGTATCGAGACCTGATCATACTCTGATATGGGATGGGTCTTTGTTGGGAGAATTTACTATTAAATCCGCCTATTTTGTAGCTCGGAAAATTTTGGGTTGGGTGGATAATGTTGATGAACAACAAAGACTGTCTTGGCGTCGGGTCTGGGGAGTTAATACTCTTCCAAAGGTGCGGTATTTTATATGGAGATTGGTTTGGGGTTTATTACCGGTCCGGCGGAATTTGCGGCAGCGGGGAATGGATTTGGAGGTGAACTTGTTGTGTGTGCTGATGGTAAGGAAAGTATTTATCATATTTTTTTTTCGTGTACTTTCAGCAAGCAAGTGTGGGAGCTGTCGGCACCATGGATTCTACTTTGTGTCGAGGAATGGAGGAATGAGGATGATTTCTGGCTGCGATTAATTGATAAAGCTTCGCGATTGGGTCAGCTAGAGTTTTTATTCACAGTTTGTTGGTCCATATGGAGAAATTGAAATGAGTGTCTGCATTCTTCTTATTGTTCATCACTAGCAGCTTTAGTGTTCTCTACGAACAGGTTACTAGTCTAATTATCAGGTTTGTCAGCTGCGAGACCGCTTGACACTATGGCTAGAGTTGGTAAACGATGGCAACCACCACCTATTGGTAGGTTGAAGATCAACGTGGATGCTTCTTTTTGTTCCTCAACACTGGAAGCAGGTCTGGGTGAGTGAGTGTAGTAGTAAGATCGAGTGAAGGTGAGGTACTGGTTAGTGCCGCAAAACATATTGGTTTTGTTTCAAACTCCCTCTATGCTGAAGTCCATGCAATCCTCTTTGGGTTTGAAATAGCGCTTGAATATTATATACAGGATTGTATTATCGAATCTGATTGTTTGATTGCGGTAACGGAGATTAACAAGAAGACATTGGTGTAGTGGGAAGGGGGTGTTTTGATTTATGAAATTCGGGAATTAGTATCTCTTTTTGATCATTGTTTTATAGTTCATGCACATAGAGAGGCTAATTTACTGGCACATAGGTTGGCACATATTGATGTCGATTTTGTGCGGTGCCGGGGTTTACCCTCTAGCGTTTGTAATCCGGATTTGTCAATTTAATGAAATTATTCTAGCTATTTTCTCCAAAAAAAAAAAAACTATCATGTACTTACTACATAAATGAACAAAATAAATATAAAAAATTCAAAATTAAAAATATCCAACCCGCGCCTCTAGTTTCAATTTAATTAAGGGTTTGGGCGTGTGATTGGGTCGTCTAAGGTTGAACTTGGGACTGATCCTGTAAAGCAACGACGTCGGCGAGGAGGGTTGGTGAGTTCCTTCCTATTAGGATTGCTTAGTAGAAAGAAGAGATGGATAATGGCTGCAGCACCAATAGGATCGTAAAATTCGTAATTGATGAAGAGATTTCCAGCAATGTAGAGACGGCCGCAGAAAGAAAGTGCAAACAGGCAAGCAAATATTGATGTTGATAGCTTTGCAAAAGGGTGAAAGACCTGCAGCACAAATTTTAGTCCCAAGAATCCAAATTAATTATAAGCTAGCTAGACAAGCAAAAATTATACTAAACTCAATTATCCAAAAAAAAAAAATTATACTAAACTCCAAGTATAGGAAATTAATCGAAGAAATTATAATTGAAAACAAACCTGAATGGGAATATAAACACAAACCACCAGGAAGATGCCGGTCATTAGGAGTTGAAGTAAGCTAAATTTATGCTCTTTCAACATTGACCACATTGAGTAAAGTGTTAGTACAACAGCTACAACACTCGTTAGAATTACAGCCTCTAATACAGTTTTTCCTCTGCCTGTATAGGGGTATACGTAGAAATCTCATTACAATTAAAATCAATTTATATCTAATAGATATCAAAAAATAACTATATAAGAAAATAAATTAAATAAATACACAATATTTCATGGAACTTGTTGGACATTTGGGCTTTGCACCCATGATAATCTAGCCCAATATAGATTATTATCTTGGTAATTTAATTTAGATTAAATTAACAAGGATAATAATAGGAGATATTTTCTTGATAAAATTCCTTGGGAATTATATCAGAAATTATCTAGCTAAGTATTCAAATGGAATACAACCACTCACACATATAAAAGAGAAAATAAAAACTACGTAAAAAAAAAAAAGCTCTCTCATTTTTTTCTATCAGGAAGTTAGAACTTTTCTGTAGAAAAAGCTTCTCCCTCCATTGTCAAGCAAGAAAAGGTTTTTGCACTGTGATTAGAGAGGTTTCTGCTCATTCCTGTAGCAGAAGTCCACCACGAGTATTGAAGATCAAGGAGCACCGTAATTGACCCTGGTTTGATTTCTTTCGCTTCCGCAAAATTCCATATTTAAATAACATGATTTATTTTAATCCATTTAGATTGCTATGCTCAATAGATCATGTTTTTCCTACATTGGTATCCGAGCTTGATTGGGGCTTTTCGTGTTTGTGATCTAAATTTATGGCCTTTTGAAATTTGTTTTTGATTTAATAGAAAAGCATGAAATTAGACCTTGATATTCTGGTGGTTTGATGATTATATGATGTTTATATGATCAGAATTTTTTGAGATTTAAATGGCTCATATTGTTGGAGATATCTCGAGTCAAACATGCAAAAAACAGTAACTTTGACCATGTTTTTCGATCTGTTCAAACTGAATATTTATGCATGATTTTTATACCATTAGAATCCTTGTCTAATAAGCTTTCCATCGGTATATTATTTGCCAAAATCGGAGTTCTATGTTGGGAGAATTTCATGTTTTAAGTTTCAGGGACTTAATTGAAAGGGACTCATTTGAAAACAAATTAAATCAGGAGGTTAAAATTGATTTAAGTGTGCGCTGAACCCAATCCCACTCTCCAAGGAGGCGCGTGGGGCCCACCTCACGAACGAATAGGCACGCCGAGAGCACCAACAGAATTGTACAAACACCAGGAGAAACTTTAATGTTTTCACCGAGCGCTAGTTCTACTCTCAAGTTGGCGCGTGGCTTGCACGCGCCTCACCGGGAGAGTGTAAAAAAAAAATCTGTTTTAAATGGATAAAACGCAGCCCCACTCGCGCCTGGCGGCGTGTGGGGGCTCGTGTATAGTCCCTGGTGGCGCGTTTTCGACACCGCCGCCACCAGTGGACTTGCAGAGGTGTTTCCTATTTTTTATGTTTTTTACAAATTTTTTAGAGTTAAAATAATTTTTTTTAATTTTTAAAATAAAAAATAATTTAGTGGAAACTGATGGCGGTGCGTGGAGGGTGCTCTTGGGCGGCCGGAGTTGCTCAGACACTTCTGGGAATGTGTCCTAAGCAGTGGGAGTGGGGGTGCGCTTTCTGATTCTCCAGAAGTATTGGTTTGAATTTTCTCCTAATTAAATGCCTTTAAAATTCATAATATTTTTTTATTATTGCTTTATTATTAATATTTCAGAATATTTATGAAGCATGATTAAATTTTATATGGCATATATATGATATTGATTATGGCATTGATGTGCTTACGTACTTATTGAAGCATGTTTATGTGATTAAATTGCATTAAATATTGTCATGATTATTTTTATGAATAATGTAGCATGCAATATTTTTTGATGAAATGATGCAATTTAAATGTATGCTTAATATGTCATGATTGAATGGGAGGTTTTAGTTGAGGAAATCTGGGATTTCACTCCTGAGACTAGAATTTTGCACATGATTATTTTAAATAATGTTAATAATTACTTGTAAGCGAGAGATGATTAGGAGCATAGCGAGTTTTCGATCTTGCTACAAGTGGATTGTTTCTATTATTTGATTTGAATTATGCTGCAAAATGTAATATCTTGTGGTGCATTATATTAATATCCATTGTGCTTGATTCTAATGTAGTTGAGAATTGCTGCCTAGAATGTTGTTGATCTGAACAAAAGGGAGATGGTTGGATGGCGAGAACTATATATGTTGTCTGGCGCATAAGATCCAACACCTTCTAGATGAACAAGGTGTCTTCAAGAACCTTGATCAGATCATGCATGAGCCTGAAGTAAGGATATTGCTCAACATCGCTCGTGAACTTGCAGCCTACCAAAATTGGCGCACGAAAGATAGTTATGCACGCTTTATCATGTTAAGCTGCACACATAACAATCTACTTGACGAGTTTGAGCAATATCAAATTGCCCATAAGATAAGGCAAGCCCAAAGGAACTAGTACGAGGTGACCATCTTGTCTAAGCTGTGTAAATTATAACAAGGTGCATTACTCGATGAAATAACATCTGAGTATGATGTTAGCCTTGATTTGCAAGCTTAGGGCAGCTGGGGTTGTCTTGACTAATGACTAACAGGTTCAAGCTGATTTCATCCCTTCTTGACTCTTGGGAGCACATGAAGGCAAAAATGACACATAACGAAAGTGTCAGGACCTTATAGGTCACTACACGCCGTTTTAAGTTGGAGAATGAGCGCCTGAAGGCTGCCAAACCTGCCACTGATGGTGTTGCCAATGTTGCTGAGTCAAACCCGCGCAAGGCATCTGGGCCTAAGCACAAGATGGATGGATAAGGCTTCTGGGAAGCTTAATGAACCTATACCGAAGATAGACAAAGAGTACTAAGCGCCATAGTGGCAAGCATGGTAGTGAAGCTAAAACTAAGGTACTTTGTTATAACTTTGGAAAACCGAGATGCTTCGCTCGTATTTGTACTGAGCTAAGAAGCTATTTTCAAGTTATAACTAAGTCAGGCTTGAGCTTTAAGGTTTGTCTTTTGAAGGGCATTAAAGTTGATATCCTTTTTGGGAATTTTGGCTTTGTTCAAGATGGTTTGAGATTTGGACCTTGATTATTCTAACTGCAGTAGGTCCATATTTCATATCTTTGATTGCTATGCATGATGATGTTTGCAATGATTATGTGAAATGGCATGCTAGATTGGGCCACAAAGGTCAAGACATAATTAGTAGCCTAGCTTGAGAAGACCTATTAGGCCTACTCGCTGAAATGTCTTTACCTACATGTGAACATTGTCATGCTGATGAGGCAACTAGAAAACCATTTGAAAAGCCAAACGGGCGTCTATACCATTGCATTTAATCCATTCTGATGTAATTGACCAAATGAGTGAAGGGTAATGTATGGCGCAAATTGCTTCATCACATTTATGGATGACTTTACGTGATTTGGTCAAGTCTATTTGAGCTCCCAAAAAGTTTCAAGCATTGAGTGGCCTTAAACGTTATGTTGCTTTGGTTGAGAATCAATTAGACCAAAGCATTAAGGCTTTGAGAACTGACCAAAGGTCGCGAGCATCTATTCGAGCTATTCGAGGAGCTCTGTGATGAAAAGGGAATTTTGCGACAACTAACGATTCCAGGGACTCCGCAACAAAATGGTGTTGTAGAAAGGAGGAATCGTACCCTCTTGGACATGTTAAGGTCAATGTTGGCGCAAGAAAAATCTTCTAATTTCATATCAAGAATATGCGTTACTGATTGCTGCCTATGTCCTTAACAGTGTATCATTCAAGTCAGTGCTTTCCACTCCACATGAACTCTTGACCGGCGAAAAACCTGATTTAGGTAATTTGCGGCCTTGGAGATCAACTGCTTATGATCACACAACTTCTCACAAGGATGTGAAATTAGGCCCTAGAGGGAATAAGTGTATCTTTATAAAGATACTCAGAACATTCCAAAGGGTATGTGTTCATAGGAGAGCATGGAGATGGAACAGTGACTGAAATTGAGTCACAAGATGTGGATTTCTTAGAATAAGATTTCCCATGAAGAAGGGAAGTTGAGAAAGAGATAGATCTCTATGAAAGTGAGGATCCAAATATTGGGGTATCAAGTAGCCTGATTGAGAATGAGGGAGCAATTCCTCAAACTCTCGGGGATAGTGGGAGTGATTTACTACCATAGAGTTCATCTATACCGATAGATGAGGATCCTCAACTCAGTTGTGTAGAAGCAAACGTGGAGGTGTCCCTCGTCGCCGGTTTGAGGTTGAGAGGGAAGCTTCCATGCTTGCTCCACAAGATGAAGCTGAACTAAAACGTTCAAAGAGACTCTATCTTCCCCTGCTGTTCAAGAATGGACTAATGCAATGAATGATGAAATGGAGTCAATGAAAACTAACCATGTCTGGGACTTGGTTGACCTACCACCTGGGCGGAAGACTATTGGGAACAAATGGGTTCTCAAAGTTAAACGCAAGGCGGATGGTTCCATTGAAAGATATAAGGCTCGCCTAGTAGCGAAAGGGCACACACAACAAGAAGGTGTGGACTATGAGGAAACCTTCTCACCGGTTGTGAGGTTTGCCTCAATTCGCTTGATTCTAGCCATAGTTGCGAACTTTGACTTGGAACTTTACCAGATGGATGTCAAAACTGCATTTCTCAATGGAGAGCTAGATGAGGAGATCTACATGGATCAACCAGAAGCCTTTGTGGCAAAATGTCAAGAGCGCAAAATCTGCAAGCTCAAACGATCTATTTATGGCCTAAAGCAATCATCTAGGCAGTGGTATCTTAGATTTCATCAAGCTATTATTCAGAATGGCTTTGAGATGATTGAAGAGGACCATTGCGTGTATGTTAAGAGATCCAAGGGTAGTTTCGTCATTTTGTCATTATACGTTGATGACATACTATTGGCTGGAAATGATATGGAGATGATTGTTACCACTAAGAAGTGGTTGTCCTCAAACTTTGAGATGAAGGACATGGGTGAAGCAAATTATGTGCTCGGAGTTAAGATCCTAAGGGATCGTTCAAAGAGGCTTCTTGGTTTGTCTCAAGAGACATACATAAAGAAGATCCTTGAACGATTTCAGATGCAAAATTGCAAACCCATAGACACTCCTATCGCAAAAGGTGAGACTTTAAGTCTTCAACTAACTCCAAAGACATCCGATGAACAAAAACAGATGGCTCGTGTTCCATATTCTAGTGCTGTTGGCAGTCTTATGTACGCCATGATGTGCACTAGGCCAGATATCAGCTTTGCTGTTGGTTTGGTTAGTAGATTCCAATCTAACCCTGGGCTTGCTCATTGCAAAGCAGTGAAGAGGATATTGCGCTATCTTAAGGGAACTGCTGATTACATGCTATGATATCGTAGTTCAAACTTGAACCTAATCGGTTATACTGATGCTGATTGGGGTGGTGACTTAGATGAGCGCAAATCAACTTCGGGATACGCATTCTTACTCAATGGTGGTGCTATTACTTGGAGCAGCAAGAAACAGTCTTGCAATGCTTTATCCACTATGGAGGCAGAATTCATAGCGTGCTCTGCAGTTGTGCAAGAAGCTGTTTGGCTAAAGCGATTTCTTGGGAGTTTGGGAGTACCCAGCGCCGTAGATCCAGTGACCATTCATTGTGATAGTATGGCTGCAATCGCTTATACCAAGGATCCAAAGTATCATGGTAGAACCAAACATATTGATATGAGGAACAACTACATTAGGGATTTGATAGCACAAAAGGAAGTGATCTTAGAACATATATCCACTAGTCATATGGTTGCTGATCCCTTAACTAAGCCTATTCCTAGAGATGCTTATGTGACTCATGTAAAGTCTTTAGGACTTCGTCGATGGTGATTATGTTGTTTTTGATCATTTTTATTGACTCTTTGTTTTTTGGATATTAATAAAATTCATGCATTTCTTCTATGATGAATTGTTTGCACACAAGATTTAGGAGTATGTCAAGAGGCTTTAGATTGGCTCACTCACATGTGCAATCGCCTTTGGCGCCTATGAGGGGTGAGCAAAGATGAGATACAAGCTACTAGCGCTTATTAAGACGGCAAGAGCATAATTAAGATGTCGCCTTGGTTGGAGCCAAGATGAGGTCAATATAGTAATGATTGACTAAAGGACCGAAAATGGATTGACCCACAATCCATTTAGCCTGTGAAGTAAGCCGGATGTGAGATCTAATTTGGCGCCTAAGAAGGCGAGCAAATAGGATGCTTAGGTTAGGCGCTAAAGGAGCGACTAGACTAAGATCTGTACAGTGTTGAGTTTGACATACACTCTTATTAGAGAAAAGAGACACTCCACTGTAGCATGTATTTCATACTACATGTGCTTTACGACCTATATAGGAGGTGGAAGAATGGATCCCTGCTTCTTCACCATGTGAGTCCTATGAAGGTTTAGATAAACCTTACATTGTGCCCTTAGTGACCTTTGACTATGTCATAAGGCGTGGAATGGATGTTTGCTACTTTGGTATGTTACCTAAGACCATGGATGATTCGGTTCTACGGGACATTACTGGGAAAGCAGTCTGTTTCAAACCAAGTGACATGAGGGCAAGAGGGAAGACAATTTGAATCACGTCATGCACTATATTCAAGGTCGACCCATTATGTCGCTTTTGAGAGCTTTGACATAATGTGAATATATGTTGCAACATTAGGAAAGATTGATTCGTATGCTCATTGAGGGATTTTTGAGATACTCAATCTAATGTGATTAAATTGGTCTAGGGTACATGAGACACTAAATTTCTTTATAAAAGGGTAGATGTCTCTATGCTGGCTCTAATGAGTTCCTAGTATAGAGCTCTCGAAATTCAAGGTGTACTCAGTGGTCGCACGGTTCATTAACCTGTATGAACTTGGCATTGGGATGGTTGAGAAGGCTTTACGATGGCTTGCCCATCATGTGTGAGTCGGAGATGTTGGACATTTGGACTTTGCACCCATGATAGTCTAGCCCAACATAGATTATTATCTTGGTAATTTAATTTGGATTAAATTAACAAGGATAATAATATGAGATATTTTCTTGATAAAATTCCTTAGGAATTATATCAGAAATTATCTAGCTAAGTATTCAAGTGGAATACAACCACTCACATATAAAAGAGAATAAAAACTACGTAAGTTAAGCTCTTTCATTATTCTTTCATCAGGAAGTTAGAACTTTCTGCAGAAAAAACTTCTCCCTCCATTGTCAAGCAAGAAAAGGTTTTTGCACTGTGATTAGTGAGGGTTCTGCTCATTCCTGTAGCAGAAGTCCACCACGAGTATTGAAGATCAAGGAGCACCGTAATTGACCCTGGTTTGATTTCTTTCGCTTCCGCAAAATTGCATATTTAATAACATGATTTATTTTAATCCATTTAGATTGTTATGCTCAATAGATCATGTTTTTCCTACAAATTAGAAAGCCAGGTTTTTTAATGTCGTCATTTTTTGCCCTGGCATCTTTATTTGCCTTCGACATTTCTCAATAGTCCCCCATATATAGCCCTTGTACAGATTTATAGCCTTCATATATTTATATATAAACATATCTAGTTCTAATCTCAAATAGAGATTGTGAGATAGAGAAACTAGAGAACTAAGAGAAGGCATGGGCATGAGTGTGTATTGGCATGAAGATTTACTGACCGAAATTCTGCTAAGGCTACCCATCAAGTCCATGGTTCGGTTTCGATGTGTAGCAACAACTTGGCAATCTCTTTTCCATAATCCCAGGTTTGTTTCTCAATATCTTACCCTTACCAAACAGAAGAACAAACGCCTTCTTGTTCACCATCATGATAACGAGAGTACTAGGAAATCGGTTTTCCGCTTGCTTGATCAGTCACTTGTTTCTTATCAAGATCTGTTACCCCACAAGCCTCAACATACCTTTAATATTCTAAACTCTCGTTATATTTGTTTCAATGATGGATTAGTTTGTGCATATGACACCCTAAAACTTGTTGTTTCACTCTTTGGAATCCTTCCACTGGGGAATTTAGACTTGTCCTTGTCCCTAATCCATCTCCATCTTTTCGTGCAACAATCAAAACAAGTAAAATTACACCTCGCCACATTGGGATCGGATGGGATTCTTGGTCAAATGATTACAAAGTGATTTGCATATGGACTAATATATTATGCCAAGCTGAGTATGCAACAGTTTACAAGCTGAGGTCGAATTCTTGGAAGGTGTTAGAAGGGGAAATTGTCCAAGCCCTTGGATGCTTTGGAGAGAAATTATTAGGTGGGACGGACCCACCAGGTCATCCATGGGACTAACCAATAGAATTTTGCCATGTCAAATTAATTCCTTCAATTAAGGCACAATTTTAGCTCAAGGTTTAGCCCCCTTTTAAAACAAACCCTATATAAAGGGTAAGTCCCCAAATTTGAGATTTTATTGGGATAGGGTTTTAGAAAGTTGATGAGTTGTCTTAATATCAATGGTTGGTCCCATAGATGACGTGATGGGTCCGTCCCACCTAATAATTTCTTGATGCTTTGACCTATTGATTCGTAAAGAGGGGAGCTGCTGTGTAAATGGTGTTTATTATTGGGCGGTATTCAAAGGTAATGTCTATAAGGTCCTTGCCTTTGACCTTGGGGATGAAAATTTCCGATTCATAGATTGGCCAAGCACGATTCGATTTTCATCATACCGGAACTTCTTTCCATTGCCTCATGAAAATCGTATCTAATTGTGGACTTATTGTTACCAAATTTATGATAATAAGATCCTTGTTGTAACTACGGAGGTTTGGGTGTTGAACGATAATGGACGAAGCTGGATCAAACTTGCAACTCTTTTCGGAAATAATGTTGGAATCGGGTTTTGGAATGGTGTTAATAAGGTGCTCACAGGACCTCGAGGTGGACAATTATCGCTTTATGATCTTGATAAAGGGATATGTAGAGACCTTGAAACGCCTGAGTACGAGGAATATAAGGGTTCTCTTGAGGCATACACTTTTGGGGAAAGCTGTGTCCCTATCTAGCTAGCTTTACAATATCCCTTCCAAAGGTTATGGAAAATCAATGTTGATGGCTTGGATACTGGGGGGTGTCATTTGAATTTCTGAATAACAAAGTTTTTCATTTTCAGTATCGGTTTTCATGTTCAAACTTGGTGGAAATTTAATGTTGATGGCTTATTGCTTGCTTTGGCTATGATTTTGTTCCTTCTTTATTTCTTTTATGATAATAAAAATTAATTTTAGAAAATATGTTCTTGATTCAATGAGATTGATGATTTTTGTGCTTAATTGATGCTTATTTTTGTACGACTTCATTTATTTCCTTTGTTTTAGTTGATCTAGTGTTATGTGTAAAGGATAAGACCAGATATTTACTTATCCTTCATCTTAAATTCAATAATTGATTTGTAAAGTTGTTACACCAAATAGTTTATTACAAAATAGCTCTATTTATTTATTTATTTATTTATTTTTGGTGAATGAAGTTTAGGAGCAGGGGTGGCTACCCCATCTCCAAGGGGAGGGTAAACCGCCTCCCCATTTTTGGGATTTTCAGACCCATTAGATTTTCACCTGCGGATTTTTCGGAATTTACAGATCACCTACCAAATGGGAGACTGCGGTCAGCGGGATTCGAACCTAGGTGGGGTGCACGAAGAGCCCGAACCTTAACCACTTGTGCCAACTCCCATTGGCAGCTCTATCTATTTGACTTATACTCAAACTCATGTATCGTATAAATACCATGCAATTAATGAAGATAAGTTTTTCCTCCCATTTTCCACATTTAGCTTCTAGCCATAACCAAGCTAAAACTTGATTGATCCTGGTTTTGTTTCTCTTCCAATGGCTGCTGCAAACACCACCACGCCCTAACCCATATCCATCAATGCCACTGCTCAATTGCCATTGAAACTTACTTTCAAAAATTTCTCTTCATGGCATGCCCAATTTGACGCTCTCCTTCAAGGTTTCGAGCTTGCTGGTTTTTTCGATGGCACTAATGCCACACCACCCAAAGAAGTGACCAAAGATGGTCAAAACGATTCCCAACCCTGACTACGCCTTCTGGCTCCGATAGGACAAACTCATTCTACACGACATAATTGCCTCCACTTCCGAATCAGTGCTCATATGTAGTTTCTTCCCAAACCTCTCATGATGCCTGGCAAAAGCTGCTCAAATTGTTTGAAAACAAAACACGATCCAAAATCATGGATATCAAGAGTTCTCTTACCTCCACCAAAAGGAATAATTAGCCTGTGGCAGAGTATTTTCAGAAAATGAAACACATTGTCGATGAATTATATCTTACTGGCACCATGGTTTAAGAGGCTGATCAAATTCTCTACATTTTGAGTGGCCTTGGGCTTGAGTTCAGAAAAATTTCAACTGCAATTCGAATTCTCTAGATATTTGTTTTGTTAAGGATTTGCAGACTTGAGCAGTGCTATCACGAGCGTTGAACGTGGATGACGTCTATCAATTTTCGGCTAATTTCCAGCCAATAAAGCCTTTTGCTTTGTCTTCTGTTCGTGTTTCTACCCAAGACTAGCACAAGCGCCTAGGTTATCCCTCCAATCTCATTGTCAGTAGAGTCATCAAGGATTTTTCCCTGCCACATTTGTCCAAAGAGTTTCATTCTTGTAATTCCTGCCACTGCAATAAAAGTCACAAGCAGTCTTTTGGAGTGTCGTCTTTAACTAGTTCCAAGCCTTTAGAACTTGTCTATACAAATATTTTGGGTCCAATACCTATTACATCATTTGATGGCCATAAATATTATGTAATCTTTGTCGATCACTATTCAAAGTATATTTGGTTGTTTCCATTAAACAAAAGGTCAGATCTCTCTCTGATGTTTCCTAAGTTTAAAGCTGTGGTTGAAAAATTCTTTGACACATCTCTTATTACTTTAATTCTGATGGGGGCGGAGAGTATGAGAAACTAAAACAATTTCTTGGACCACATGGTATTTCCCACCTACAAACACCTCCCCATACTTCCGAGCACAATTGTTTTGCCGAAAGACTTCACCACCACATTGTTGAATCTTGATTAACTCTCTTACACCAAGCTTCTCTTCCTCTACAATTTTGGAGCTATGCCTTCCAAATCGTTGCATTCCTCATTAACCGCATGCCAACTCCTACACTAAATTTTCACTCACCATTCCAAATTCTTTTCAAGAAAGATCCCAATTACCTACGTGTCTTCGGGTGTCGCTGTTATCCATGTCTCTGTCCTTTCAACAAAAATAAATTCCAGTCTCGTTATACTCCAGCAACCAAAGTGCATTTCTGTGTCTAGACGTGGAGTCTTCTAGAGCCTTTGTATCGCGTCATGTCGAATTTGTTGAAAATTAGTTTCCATATCCACAATAATCACTACAGTCACCTTCAGATCTTGAGTCCATTGCCACTTCTTTTCTAATGAGTCCGAGTCTAGTTGTCCTAGATAAACACTCTTCTGCCGAGTCTCCTCCGCCATCCACTTAAATGTCCGCACCAACACATGCTGCAAATTCAGATTCTGACCATGATTTAAATCCAGCTCCACAGTAGGATGTACATGCAGATGTTCTACTAACGCAGGATTTACAAA